GAGGTCGGGGGATTGTGGAGGCCAGGTCATCTGAGGCAGCACTCCATCACTCTCCTTCTTGGTCAAATAGCCCTTACACAGCCTGGAGGTGTGTTGGGTCATTGCCCTGTTAAAAAACAAATGATAGTCCCACTAAGCCCAAACTAGATTGGATGGCGTATCACTGCAGAATGCTGTGGTAGCCATGCTGGTTAAGTGTGCCTTGAATTCTAAATAAATACATTTACATTTACATTTTAGTCATTTAGCAGACGCTCTTATCCAGAGCGACTTACAGTTAGTGAATACATCTTTTTTTATACTGGCCCCCCGTGGGAATCGAACCCTCAACCCTGGCGTTGCAAACGCCATGCTCTATCAACTGAGCTACATCCCTGCCGGCCATTCCCTCCCCTATCCTGGACGACGCTGGGCCAATTGTGCGCCGCCCATGAGTCTCCTGGTCGCGGCCGGCTGCGACAGAGCCTGGATTCGAACCAGGATCTCTAGTGGCACAGTTAGCACTGCGATGCAGTGCCTTAGAGCACTGCGCCACTCAGGAGACAGTGTCACCACAGACAGTGTCACCAGCAAAGCACCCCCACACCATAACACCTCCTCCTCCATGCTTTACGGTGGGATATACACATGTGGAGATCCTCCGTTCACCCATACCCCGTCTCACAAAGACACAGCGGTTGGAACCAAAAATCTCAAATTTGGACTCCAGACCAAATGACACATTTCCACTGGGCTAACGTCCATGGCTCATGTTTCTTGGCCAAGCAGGTCTCTTCTTCTTATTGGTGTCCTTTAACAGTGGTTTCTTTGCAGCAATTTGACCATGGCCTGATTCGTCTCCTCTGAACAGTTGATGTTGAGATGTGTCTGTTACTTGAACTCTGTGAAGCATTTATTTGGGCTGCAATTTCTGAGGCTGGTAACTCTAATGAACTTATCCTCTGCAGCAGAGGTAACTCTGGGTCTTCCATTCCTGTGGCGGTCCTCATGAGAGCCAGTTTCATCATAGCGCTTGATGGTTTTTGCGACTGCACTTAAAGAAACTTTAAAAGTTCTTGAAATGTTCCGTATTGACTGACCTTCGTGTCTTAAAGTAATGATGGACTGTTGTTTCTCTTTGCTTATTTGAGCTGTTCTTGCCATAATATGGATTGGTCTTTTACCAAGTATTTTCCTTTTTAATGCGTTTGAGCCAATCAGTAGTGATGTGACAAGGTACCTTGTCACATCACAACTGATTGGCTCAAACGCATTAAAAAGGAAATAAATTCCACAAATTAAATGACATATCTTTGAGTACAAGTTTAAATCTTGCTATTTTGTATCTGTGTAGTTATATCAAATATATTGACATGTAAATCAATCAATCTCTGTTGTGTGTGTTAGTGATTAAAAATAAATAAATTATAGGGTGTCCCTGAGGGGCAAAGTACGCAGCAGTTGACAATTACATTATACTGATCACTTCTAAAGACAAATAACGAGTTCAACCAAAATTGCCTTTGTCATGATAGTATTTCCTGTCTTGGCTTTGCACTGATCACATCCCCCTATTCTGAGAAGCACCTTATAAGGGGAATAGGATTGGGGTCTGAGGTAGAGGAGGGGCCAGTGAGGTTATGCATCACTTCCTGTGGTGTGAGTGACAGGAAGGAGCAGCTCAGTGTAGAGGGAGACCTGCTGAGGTGAACATCACTGGGCCTCTTATAGACTAACACTGGGGGATGAAATGTACCTTATGCTCTCTCTCTCTCTCTCTCTCTCTCTCTCTCTCTCTCTCTCTTTCTCTCTCTCTCTCTCTCACACACACACACACGTTAGTTGGGGGGGCTAGTGCACACCCTATTTTCACACCTCTCTCTCTTCATCTGGATGGTAAACACCAGACCTAAACTTTGCAGGGTTTCTTAAACTATGGGTCCTGAGTTATGAGAATGCATCTATAATCACACACTATTTATTCCTACTTTTGATTGTTGTAGGACGATTTGGGTCACGGGAGGACAGTCAATTTCTCATTTGGGTCTCGAGTTGAAAACGTTTAAGAACCCTAAAGCATTCAACAAGAGGACAAAGTGCAGCTAAGGATTTAGTGTCATCTCAATAGTTCTGTGAACTCTTCCTTCATGAAAAAAAGAAGGTATTGGCAGTGCATTCGGAATGTATTCAGACCCCTTCCCTTTTTCCACATTTTGTTACATTACAGCCTTATTCTAAAATACTCCATAATGACAAAGCAAAAACAGGTTTTTAGAAATTTTTGCAAATTGATTAAAAATAAAAAAAACAGAAATACCTTATTTACATAGGTATTCAGACCCTTTGCTATGAGACTCGAAATTGAGCTCAGGTGCATCCTGTTTCCATTGATCATCCTTGAGATGTTTCTACAACTTGATTGGAGTCCACCTGTGGTAAATACAATTGATTGGACATGATTTGGAAAGACACACACCTGTCTATATAAGGTCTCACAGTTGACAGTGCATGTCAGAGCAAAAACCAAGCCATGAGATCGAAGGAATTGTCCGTAGAGCTCCGAGACAGGATTGTGTCGAGACACAGATCTGGGGAAGGGTACCAAAAAATGTCTGCAGCATTGAAGGTCCCCAAGAACACAGTGGCCTCCATCATTCTTAAATGGAAGAAGTTTGGAACCACCAAGACTCTTCCTAGAGCTGGCCGCGTGGCCAAACTGAGGAATCGGGGGGGAAGGGCCTTGGTCTGGGAGGTGACCAAGAACCCGATGGTCACTCTGACAGAGCTCCAGAGCGCTCAGGACCTCAGACTGAGGCAAATGTTCACCTTCCAACAGGACAACAACCCTAATCACACAGCCAAGACAAAGCAGGAGGCTTTGGGACAAGTCTCTGAATGTCCTTGAGTGGCCCAGCCAGAGCCCGGACTTGAACCTGATCTAAAATCTCTGGAGAGACATGAAAATAGCTGTGCAGCGACGCTCCCCATCCAACCGACAGAGCTTGAGAGGATCTGCGGAGAAGAATGGGAGAAACTCCCCAAAAACAGGTGTGCCAAGCTTGTAGCGTCATACCCAAGAAGACTTGAGGCTTTAGTTGCTGCCAACGTTGCTTCAACTAAGTACTGAGTAAAGGGTCTGAATGTTCTTTTTATAAATTTGCAAAAATGTCTGAAAACCTGTTTTCGCTTTGTCATTATGGGGTACTGTGTGTAGATTGGGGGGGGGGGGGGGGGGGGGTGGATTATGTAATCCATTTTAGAATAAGGCTGTAACGTAACAAAATGTGAAAAGTAAATGGGTCTGAATACCTTCCGAATGCACTGTAACTAAATTACTTGAAAAGTACTACTTAAGTAGTTTTTATGGGTATCTGTACTTTACTTTACTATTGATATTTTTTACAACTTTTACTTCACTACATTCCTAAAGAAAATGATGTACTGTTTACTTCATAAATTTTCCCTGACACCCAAAGTACTTGTTACATTTTGAATGCTTAGCAGGACAGGAAAATGGTCTAATTCACACACTTATCAAGAGAACATCCCTGGTCATCCCTACTGCCTCTGATCTGGCGGAATCCCTAAACACACACTTTGTTTGTAAATTATATCTGAGTGTTGGAGCGTGCCCCTGGCTAGTCGTAAATTTTAAAAACAAGAAAATGTGCTGTCTGGTTTGCTTAATATAAGGAATTTGTAATTATTTCTACTTTTGATACTTAAGTATATACAAAACCAAATACTTTTAGACTTATACTCAAGTTGGATTTTACTGGGTGACTTTCACTTTTACTTGAGGCATTTTCTATTAAGGTAGCTTTACTTTTACTCAAGTATGACAATTGGGTACTTTTTCCACCACTGGGTATTGGTAACAAACAAAGGTTTGAAATTTGGCCAACAAAAATATATATTATTCAACGTTACTAGCAGCACTAGAGATTCTTCACTGTTTACTGTCCAAACATCAAAAGAGAAATCATTTCAGTAAATGTTTCATTTCTCTCAAAAAAGAAGCAACCATATCAAGCCAATATTTGATTGCCTTGATCCAGTAACTCTGACTTGATTTATAATGTCTTCTCAAAAAAGCAATTCCTGGGAAGCTCAAACTATGGTAAGCCAGAGAACACACTTCTAAGATTGTAGTCAGCCAATAAAATCTCTTGTTTTAGTGTTCCCTCCTACTGAATGACGGCTACATGTAAAGTGGCATCATATATAAAGGTGCATATAAAGTGTCCCACTGTCAGACCCACACACTATACAGTGCAGAAGGGACTAATGTTACAATGATGAATAGAGAGGTATTTTTGTTTTACATCAACTTGGGTAAGTGTAAGACATTTTAATTGAGTTCCTTTTTTAATCATTTGTAGTATGTAGTTTGAATATGATAAGTGAACTGGATGTTCTGTCTGTAATGGGTAGAAATGGTTTGTCCATGTCTTTGTCTTTGATCCATTTTGTTTGTTTGCTTTGACAGTTTGTGCTTTTACCAAACCAAACGTAATCCAACCAGACCCTGTGATGGTTACTGAGCTGGGAGGCACTGTGACTCTCACTTGCCTTTGTCCAGATGAGTCAGTGAGCAGGTTTGATTGGTTCAAGCAGAGTGTTGGACAGAAACCCCTCCACATGGCATCATCTCTTTATGTTGGCCAAGATAATTATTATTCCAACAACTTTATCAAGGACTTTACTGAGACCAAACGTTTGGGTGTGAGGAGAAGAGACGACAGCTGTAACTTGACCATATCCAAGACAGAGCCAGGGGACTCAGCTACATACTATTGTTTCATTACAGCCATCTATGAGCATTTGGAGAGGGAACTGTTTTAATTGTCAAAGGTAACTAAACATTTGCATCTTCAATTTCAAATTGTGTGGCCCTGTATGTTGATATGTTCCTACAACTGCTTCATCAAATGCTTGTGATGAATACATGGCTTTTCATATTTTTCACCCACTTAGTTTTACTTTAGTTTTAACTCTCTTCAGGTTCAGAGTCCAACAGCATGTCTGTGCTCCAGCAGCCAGTGTTTGAGTCAGTCCAGCCAGGAGACTCTGTGACTCTGAACTGTACAATACACATTGAGACCTGTGTAGGACAACACAGTGTCTATTGGTTCAGACATGGCTCAGGAGAATCCCATCCAGGAATCATTTACACCCATGGAGACAGGAGTGATCAGTGTGAGAAGATCCCTGATGCTGGGTCTCCTACACAGAGCTGTGTCTACAATCTCCCCAAGAGGAACCTCAGCCTCTCTGATGCTGGGACTTACTACTGTGCTGTGGCCTCATGTGGGGAGATACTGTTTGGGAAACGGGACCATGCTGGACATTGACCGTAAGTGATACTTCTGACATTCAGTTATATTAAAATCTATATAATCAAAGTTCTTTAGATTGTAGGCAAGGTATCATTCAAATACCTTTGTTTTTCTATATCATTCAGATACTTTTGTTTTCCTATATCCTTCAGATATCTTTGTACATGAGAGAAGAAAGTATGACTCTCAGATCAGGCAGAGTCTTGTTGGTGTCTTAAACATTGTCACGGCTTTATCCCTCAGTGTCTCAGTGTTTCTATTCCTATTTGATATTTCACAGATGGTTGTAAGGAGGACCATCTTCCTTTCATGTACTTCCTGGGCGTAGCGTTGGGTCTGTGTGTCATCCTCATCATTGTCCTTACTTGTGTTTTTTACAAGATGAGCAAGTGCACAGGTAAGCAAAATTATTGTGCATTATACAGTATGCTTATCAATTGTTGGTACAGTAACATTATTTTACATGTTTTGGTCAAAATTGGTCATAAAGGCTCTTCGTTGTATGATGATGATGATGATTATATTGATTATTGTGTTTGATTGAAAGGAACGCACCCTCAGCCAAGTGCTCCTGCAGTCCCCAGTCATGATAACCAGGTAACCTGACCTAACACTTGGTTAGCTGTTGCAGAATCAATGTATTTTTCCTACAATCAAAATATGAAAATATGCATTATATTAGAAGGGTTGTTTCACAATACCGCAATACTTAGACTAATATATATTTTTTAAACATTTAAACATTTTTTTTTAGTCATTTAGCAGACACTCTTATCCAGAGCGACTTACAGGAGCAATTAGGGTTAAGTGCCTTGCTCAAGGGCACCGACAGATATTATTATTATTATATATATATATTTTTTTTTTCGCCTAGTCGGCTCGGGGATTAGAACCAGCGACCTTTCGGTTACTGGCACAACGCTCTTAACCACTAACCACCTGCTACCAAATATTTTGATTTTCATTTTTGCTATTCCTCTCAGGATCAAGAGCCTGATACTCTCCATTACGCCGCTCTGAACGTCATCCACCAGAAACCGAAGGCCGGGAGACAAAGGAGCGCTATGGAGAGAGACACTGTGTACTCTGGGGTGAGACGCCAAAACATGGACTGAAATGTCAACCTTTCCTCTTTAATAACTTGCATTGATTTATTGTGTTCTACACTGTATGCATGTATGACTGTGGCTTTTTCATTGTAAGGTACAATTACTTGTATTTTGTCAAGCTCCTTTTTACATTGATACTGTTGTTCAATTTTGAACAAATAAAACATTCAACTGCTTTCATATAGAGGTATTGATTGATTTTCATTCATATTTTTCTCTGTCCTTACATTTATACAACGCTTTAACCCACATATTCAGTGTGCAACAACCATATCAAGCCTATGCTCAATGTAAAGAAGATGGTTGGCTGCATAATAACTGTTAATATGTATCTAATGCTGGTGTTTTAGCCTGTTAAAGTGTCTTATTTTAGCTGTATCTTGTTTCACAGCTCTCTGTGGTGTTATGACTGCCCTAAATAGATTTTCCACTCACGTAAACTCAACTCTAACTCCCAGCATGTCACGTTCGTCTAATGACGGGTCAGACCAAGGCGCAGCGTGATATACGTACATGTTTATTAAACCAAATAAACACAACGACAAAACAACAAACTAAACGAAACGTGAAGTCCAAGGTAGCGCGCGCACACAACATACCTTACACGGAACAAGATCCCACAACCCACTAGTGCCAATAGGCTGCCTAAGTATGATCCCCAATCAGAGACAACGAGCTACAGCTGCCTCTGATTGGGAACCACACCGGCCAACATAGATATACACATAATAGATCCAAACATAGAAAACACCACAAAGAATATACACACCCTGACTCAACATTTAAGAGTCCCCTGAGTCAGGGCGTGACACAGCAATGACCGTCAGTCCTCACCACACTCTCTTTTCACACACCATCAAAACCACAAACATCCATGTCACTAAAAGCACAACTCTCTCTCTCCATAAGAAAAGACTGAACTAAAAATAAACTTCTTAGCTGAATATACTTTGAACAGAATTGATATGGTTGAGAGACTGATTTCAAATATGACAATGTTCACATAGTAACTGAGCAGTTTTCACAACCTATTGACAAAATGTGAATATGTATAAGTGCACCTTGTAGGACTGCAATCCATTTCTTTTTCAACCGGGAGCAGCAGTGTACATGGAAGTCCCCATAACTGCCTCAACAGTAGAGTTGGCAGCAACATGTAGTTGTCAAAATGTTTAAAATGTTCACTAATTTGATGAAGTATCATTGACAACTTGCTTTTCTGTGATAGTTCATGTGTCTAGCCGAAATAGCAGTCAAGTAAATGCCAAAAAAGACAATGTGTGGCAATGAAGAATCTATAACAATGTAATATAGTTATTAAATGCTTATTACAGATCTATAACATGTTAGAAATAATTTACAGTTGCTTTAAGTAGCAACCATCTAAAAAGCCAGGCAGTCATCATCACTGGATCATTACTACTAACCTCAACATAGTTATAATAAAGTGTAACTTAGTAACAAGGAGCAACAATCACTCAAAATGGAACAGGTAGTAGAGTGATCTGTATGATGAAGACAATGACTCATGTGTTTGAGTGTGTAGTTTTGTAATTGAGTTCCAGGGAGTCTTTGCATTAGTAAGGCAACAAACCTATTTTTCAAGTCATATCTCCTCTAAAATGTCTTGACCTTCTTTTAGATGTGTTGATCGCATGACACTCACATCCACCCACACACAGCTAACAAGTTCACAGGTACTTGCGATCTGCTCTAAGTACAAGGCCATATCTAGGCTTTGGTCAGGCCTGCTGGCCTTGTACACACAGGACCCTCCTACCTGCTCTCTGTGTCTCTGTGGTTTTCAGCAGGATGTCTATCTGGTGTCAGTCTGTTGTTTTCACATTTGTTGCTGTTGTTCATGTTCCTACTGACAGCTTGCAGTCACAGCAAACCAGTTCTTTATAAACTTACTCTGATATACAGTGCCCTCCACAATTATTGGCACCCCTGTTTAAGATGTTGTCGAGGACTTCCAAAAATTCTCCTTTTTTTTTTAACAACATAGAACCCAAATGCAAAAAAAGAGAAAAATCCAAACTTTTATTTAAGTACATTACTTTGGTGTAAAAAAAAAAAATCACACATTTAGAAAAAAAAAACTTGAAATCATGTGTCCCACAATTATTGGCACCCCTGATGTTAATACTTTGTACAACCCCCTTTTGCCAACAAGACAGCACTTAATCTCCTCCTATAACATTTCACAAGATTGGAGAACACAGAGAGAGGGATCTTTGACCATTCTTCTTTGCACAATCTTTCTAGATCATCCAGTTTCCTGGGTCCTCTCTTATGCACTCTCCTCTTTAGCTCGCCCCACAGGTTTTCGATTGGGTTGAGGTCTGGGGACTGAGATGGCCATGGGAGGACCTTGAGTTTGTGACTGCTGAACCATTTTTGTGTAGATTTTGCCACATGTTTTGGATCATTATCCTGCTGAAAGACCCAATGACGACCCATCTTCAGCTTTCTGGCAGAGGCCATCAGGTTTTTATTTAAAATGTCCTGGTAGTTCAAAGCGTTCATAATGCCATGCACCCTAACAAGGTTCCCAGGGCCTTTGGAAGAGAAACAGGCCCACAGCATCACAGATCCTCCACCATACTTCACGGTGGGCATGAGGTGCTTTTCGGCATACTCATCTTTTGTTTTACGCCAGCCACTTAGAGTGTTTGTTGCCAAAAAGCTCAATCTTAGTCTCATCTGACCAAAGCGCACGATCCCAGTTGAAGTCCCAGTGCCGCTTAGCAAACTCCAGACGTTTACGTTTGTGAGTGTTAGTGAGAAAAGGCTTTTTCCTTGCATGCCTCCCAAACAGCTTGTTGGCATGTAGAGAGAGTCTGATGGTTGTTTTGGAGACTTTGTGACCCCAAGATGCCACTCTTTGATGCAATTCTGTGACAGTGAGCTTAGGACTTTTTTTTACTTCTCTTACCATCCTCCTCACTGTGCGTTGTGGCAAGATAAACTTGGGACCTCTTCCAGCCTTGTGTGTCACTGTTCCAGTTGTTTTAAACTTCTTAATGATTCCTCTGATTGTAGATACGGGCAAGTTAAGGCGAGTGGCTATTTTCTTGTAGCCATTGCCTGACTTATGAAGGTCGACACAAATCTGCCTTACTTGAATGGTGTGTTCTCTTGTCTTTGCCATGTTGACAAATGGGTAAGATAATTAGGCCTCTGTGTCACGTCATATTTATACCCCAGGGAAACAGGAAGTCATGAATTACTAATTAAAAGTTCCTAGATACCCTGACCAACTTTAGCAACTACAGAAAAATATATTTAAAAAAAAATCAATTACAATTTTCAGCGGAATTGTTAGGGGTGCCAATAATTGTGGGACACATGATTTCAAGTTTTTATTTTCTAAATGTGTGATTTTTTTTTTTACCTTCAAAGTAATGTACTTAAATAAAAGGTTGAATTTTTCTATTTTTTTGCATTTGGGTTCTATGTTGTTTAAAAAAAAATAGAATTTTTGGAAGTCCTCGACCACATCTTAAACAGGGGTGCCAATAATAGTGGAGGGCACTGTATATAGTTATCTGAAATCAGTTACAAACCACAAAGAACTGCTCATGAAATCTATTTGAACTCTCCGAGTTAAGCATCTCATGTCATGTGTAATACAGCACCATCTATACTATATCTATGGGCTCAGGGGGAGGGGCCTTTTTATGATGATGTCATGGCAGAAATAGTACCTTCTCAATCAGTCAAGTGTTCTAGGACTTCTGCAGGGTTCTCTGTAAGGAGACCAATAGAGGAGGATTCTCCTTCTGATAGATTGCCTCCTATGAGAACCACACTAACCAGACAGTGATACAGAGTGGATAAAGTGTGTCGTATATTGGTTATATTAGGCTGGGGTGTCCAATCAGTCATGCACTCTTAGGTGTTACATTTTAGTTAGTGCATGTTTCTGTGAATGATAGGGAATGAGACTGACATACAATTGACTTGTTTCATTCTATAGTTGTTTATCTCATATACACTCCCACAGCTCCCACATGTTCGTCATTTAGAAGATGCTCTTATCCAGAGCAAATTACCGGAGCAAGTAGGGTTAAGTGCCTTGCGCATGGGGACATGCACTGATTTTTCACCTAGTTGGTGCGGGGATTTGAACTAGCGACCTTTCGGTTACTGTCCCAATGCTCTTAACCGCTAGACAGGACAATATATGTTCTATGTATAACAGCCCTCCTATGGGTCATCTGGAGTACTGTAACTGTTGAATGACTGTTGAAATAATAATCGTTTTCTTTCAAATAATTTAGGTACACTTGGTTTTGCTGGTCTTCTGCAATGGAGGCAAGATAAATCAAGTGTAACTAAAGTAAGTGTAGAAAACGAATAGTCTACTATTTTGACCCAGTGTTCTCCAGAGAGGTGAGAAAACTAATAGTCTACTATTTTGACCCAGTGTTCTCCAGAGAGGTGAGAAAACTAATAGTCTACTATTTTGACCCAGTGTTCTCCAGAGAGGTGAGAAAACGAATAGTCTACTATTTTGACCCAGTGTTCTCCAGAGAGGTGAGAAAACTAATAGTCTACTATTTTGACCCAGTGTTCTCCAGAGAGGTGAGAAAACTAATAGTCTACTATTTTGACCCAGTGTTCTCCAGAGAGGTGAGAAAACGAATAGTCTACTATTTTGACCCAGAGTTCTCCAGAGAGGTGAGAAAACTAATAGTCTACTATTTTGACCCAGTGTTCTCCAGAGAGGTGAAAAACGAATAGTCTACTATTTTGACCCAGTGTTCTCCAGAGAGGTGAGAAAATAAACCACGAAACAAGTAAAACCTTCAAGACAGTTACTTACATTCTACAGCATCCTGTGTCTCAGTGAGTCCAGCCAGTAGACTGTGTGACTCTGTAGGGTGCAATAGACCACAAGACCATGGTCGTCTGAATCAGGCGTTAACAAAGAAGATTGGTTCCAGTTCAACCAATCAAATCAAATCAAATCAAATTTGCCCATTGTTGAAGTGTTATACATGTGTAGACTTTCTCCACGCAAGATGATATATTCAATGATGGTGTCCCTGTTTATGATATTTCTAATTCTGAAACAAATTGTTAAGTTATATAACTTTACCAAGGACTTCAATGGGACTAATCGTCTGAATGTGAAAAGAGGAGTTGACAGCTTTAACCTGACCATCTCCAAGACACAGTTAGGGGACTCAGCTACATACTACTGCGGTGCTATTGAAGTGGGCAAAGTCAAATTTGGACAAGGAGCTGTTTTGATTGTCAAAGGTAAACTAACTTAGTTCTTTATTTTGGAAGTTCATTTTGCAGCCATGAAATTCTAAATATACATTAGAAATGGTATATTGTAATTGTAAATAAATCTAGCAGGACATTAATCATGATATTAATCTGTCACTCTTTTCAGATTTAGAGTCCAACAGCATGTCTGTGCTCCAGCAGCCTGTGTCTGAGTCAGTCCAGCCAGGAGACTCTGTGACTCTGAACTGTACAATACACACTGAGACCTGTGTAGGAGAACACAGTGTCTATTGGTTCAGACATGGCTCAGGAGAATCCCGTCCAGGAATCATTTACACCCATGGAGAAAGGAGTGATCAGTGTGCGAAGAGCCCTGAGGCTGGGTCTCCTACACAGAGCTGTGTTTACAACCTCCCCAAGAAGAAACTCAGCCTCTCTGATGCTGGGACTTACTACTGTGCTGTGGCCTCATGGGGAGATACTGTTTGGGAACGGGACCAAGCTGGACATTCAAGGTAGGTTTTTTATATATTTTACTAATCTACTGTGTAGAATATACATTTACTTGCTGTTCTACATTTACATTTACATTTCAGTCATTTAGCAGACGCTCCTATCCAGAGCGACTTACAGTTAGTGCATACATTACATTATTATTTTTATATATATATTTTTCATACCCCCCGTTCTGAGTGTCCTCAAATAATGTTTGAATCTCCACAGGCCGTAGGGCAGACCCTCTTCTCTTGGAGTACTGCCTGGGTGTAGCATTGGCTTTCTCCTTAATCCTGATCATTGTCCTTGCTTGCATCATGTATAAAATGAACCAGAGAAAGTGTCTGCAGTGCAGAGGTAAGTTACTTTTTCTTAGAGGTTGCTCTTCTTTAATATTACCATCTCTGGATGTATCTGTAGTGGAAGAAGGGACTGTATCTTTATCTTTGGGGTATTTCCTTTCAGGACCCGTCTCTATGACAACATGTCCATCAGTCTCTTCTACAGATGCAGGGGTAAGTAGAATTCCTTCCATTTTGTATTACCATAAAAATATGTATGAAAATGTTTATAGTGAATAATAACATATAGTAATATTTCTCCTTCCCCCCTTTATAATTGTTTCTCACAGGCCCAAGATGCAGACAATCTCCATTACGTAGCTCTGAATCTGAGAAACAAGAAGAACAGGTCTGGAAGACAGAGAAGCCAAATGGAGGAAGAGACAGTGTATGCTGGGATCAGACAGTAGAACTGGATGAATGAAACAGTCCAATGAATTAGCTTTTTATTAACTCTCACTTTATTAACATTATTAGCTGAATTACTGTAACTAATAATTACTGTAGCTACTTGAATTAAGTGCATTGCTTCTCTGAAAAACTAATTTTGCTTGTGATAATATCAATAAAGCATTTAACAGCAGTCAAGACAAAGGAAGTTGAATGTATTTATTTAGGCCATACTCAGGAATCTTTAAAGGTGAAATATGCAGAAATCGCTACGCCATTTCCTGGTTGCTAAAATTCTAATAGTTTGCCTAATTTCAGTTTATGTGACAAAACAACCAATGCATAGTGTAGAGAATCATTGTACCATCTAAACCGCTGTGAAATATATTTTCAATAACCAAAAATATTGTATTTTCAGCTGTTTAAAACTGCTGTACAAAACCGAAAGTAAAAGATGCAAAAACAAAACTTAAGAACAGAAAGCTTAGAAATAGTGCACTTAGATCAGAACTACCGCTTCTTAGACTTGCATTAATTGAGAATGACACATCTATAACTCACATTTCTATTGGTCAGGTCGCCCAAAAAGTTACATATTGCAGCTTTAATTTGTAGTGTTAAACCGTTTTTTCTCTTCTCAGTAACACACCCTCAATCACACAGCAACCTATTTACAGTTAGTTTGCGGTCAGTGATGAACACAAGATGAGGATGTATCTATGCTTTGTTAGGGCCTGCTGGCTTTGAACATAGGACCCTCTGCTCTCTTTCTTTCTCTCTGCTGTTGCTCTCTCTCTCTCTCTCTCTCTCTCTCTCTCTCTCCTCTCTGCTCTCTCTCTCATCTCTCTCTCTCTCTTCTCATCTCCTTCTCTCTCCTCTCTCCGTCTCTCTTCTCCTCTCTCTCCTCAATCTCTCTCTCTCCCCTCGATCCTTTCCTCTCTCTCTGTGGTTTTCAGACATGGATGTCTCAGAACTCTTAGCTCTCTCCATACCGTAGGCTATACCACTTGCTCTTCAAGTTGACCCACTTTAACAACAGTCAAAACCAAACTCTTTTTGATGAGGCAGCTTATCTACTATACATAGTCTACTGAAATCTGTGGAAAAAACACAATGAGCTATTTATGAGGTAGGTTAATTTCACCTAGATTCTGTAGTTTCTAGTCAAAACACAACACAGTTTTAACTGTGAAGAAAGAATTGATCATCACCTATAGGCCTAGAGAGGAATCTGCCTCCTCAATACAAAATCATGGGAATGGGATTCTATCCATCCAAATCCATCGAGTGTAAATCCTGGAATTAGAGATTTTTTTACCAGAGATGTTTTTTAGTGAGGTGATATGGACCGTGGTGATAGAAGCCCTAGTGCATATATGTTGTATGTCATGTTTTTTAATACATGTGATTGCTGGTACTGAGTCCTCATCACAAACTTCAGGACAGTGGGTCATATCCAGCCAATGTTGGAAGACTCAGTGATTGTGGCACTGCTTTCTATGAAGGCCACCTGGAACTGCATATCTCCTGGTACCAAGCAAACCCTTGAGAGAAGCTTCAACTCTTATCAACCGTCGATAAGTTTGACAGGAACGCAACATTTTACCATGAGTTTAAGGATAACCCTCGCTTCTCAGTGGAAAATGGCCAAGAAAAGAATCACCTAAGGATCTCAGACATGCAGCATAGAAATAGCGCCCTTAGAACAGAACTACCGCTTCTTAGACTTGCATTAATTGAGAATGACACATCTATAATTCACATTTCTATTGGTCAGGTCGCCCAAAAAGTTACATATTGCAGCTTTAATTTGTAGTGTTAAACCGTTTTTTTCTCTTCTCATGCCAGTAACACACCCTCAAACACACAGCAACCTATTTACAGTTAGTTTGCGGTCAGTGATGAACACAAGATGAGGATGTACAGTGGGGGAAAAAAGTATTTAGTCAGCCACCAATTGTGCAAGTTCTCCCACTTAAAAAGATGAGAGAGGCCTGTAATTTTCATCATAGGTACACGTCAACTATGACGGACAAAATGAGGAAAAAAAATCCAGAAAATCACATTGTAGGATTTTTTATGAATTTATTTGCAAATTATGGTGGAAAATAAGTATTTGGTCAATAACAAAAGTTTCTCAATACTTTGTTATATACCCTTTGTTGGCAATGACACAGGTCAAACGTTTTCTGTAAGTCTTCACAAGGTTTTCACACACTGTTGCTGGTATTTTGGCCCATTCCTCCATGCAGATCTCCTCTAGAGCAGTGATATTTTGGGGCTGTCGCTGGGCAACACGGACTTTCAACTCCCTCCAAAGATTTTCTATGGGGTTGAGATCTGGAGACTGGCTAGGCCACTCCAGGACCTTGAAATGCTTCTTACGAAGCCACTCCTTCGTTGCCCGGGTGGTGTGTTTGGGATCATTGTCTTGCTGAAAGACCCAGCCACGTTTCATCTTCAATGCCCTTGCTGATGGAAGGAGGTTTTCACTCAAAATCTCACGATACATGGCCCCATTCATTCTTTCCTTTACACAGATCAGTCGTCCTGGTCCCTTTGCAGAAAAACAGCCCCAAAGCATGATGTTTCCACCCCCATGCTTCACAGTAGGTATGGTGTTCTTTGGATGCAACTCAGCATTCTTTGTCCTCCAAACACGACGAGTTGAGTTTTTACCAAAAAGTTATATTTTGGTTTCATCTGACCATATGACATTCTCCCAATCCTCTTCTGGATCATCCAAATGCACTCTAGCAAACTTCAGACGGGCCTGGACATGTACTGGCTTAAGCAGGGGGACACGTCTGGCACTGCAGGATTTTAGTCCCTGGCGGCGTAGTGTGTTACTGATGGTAGGCTTTGTTACTTTGGTCCCAGCTCTCTGCAGGTCATTCACTAGGTCCCCCCGTGTCGTTCTGGGATTTTTGCTCACCGTTCTTGTGATCATTTTGAAAACATGGGGTGAGATCTTGCGTGGAGCCCCAGATCCAGGGAGATTATCAGTGGTCTTGTATGTCTTCCATTTCCTAATAATTGCTCCCACAGTTGATTTATTCAAACCAAGCTGCTTACCTATTGCAGATTCAGTCTTCCCAGCCTGGTGCAGGTCTACAATTTTGTTTCTGGTGTCCTTTGACAGCTCTTTGGTCTTGGCCATAGTGGAGTTTGAAGTGTGACTGTTTGAGGTTGTGGACAGATGTCTTTTATACTGATAACAAGTTCAAACAGGTGCCATTAATACAGGTAACGAGTGGAGGACAGAGGAGCCTCTTAAAGAAGAAGTTACAGGTCTGTGAGAGCCAGAAATCTTGCTTGTTTGTAGGTGACCAAATACTTATTTTCCACCATAATTTGCAAATAAATTCATTAAAAATCCTACAATGTGATTTTCAGGATTTTTTTTTCTCATTTTGTCTGTCATAGTTGACGTGTACCTATGATGAAAATTACAGGCCTCTCTCATCTTTTTAAGTGGGAGAACTTGCACAATTGGTGGCTGACTAAATACTTTTTTCCCCCACCGTACATAGGGACCCTCTGCTCTCTTTCTTTCTCTCTGCTGTTGTTCTCTCTCTCTCTCTCTCTCTCTCTCTCTCCCTCTAGTCTTCCCTCTCTCATCTCTCCACCCTCTTCTCTCTCCTCTCTCTCTCCTCTCTGCTGTTGTCTCTCTCTCCTCTCTCTCTCTCTCCTCTCTCTCCTCTCTCTCCCTCTTCTCATCTCCCTCTCTTCCTCTTCTCTCTCTCCTCTCTCTTCCTCCTCTCCTCTCTCTCTCTCTCTCCTCTCTCTCTCTGTGGTTTTCAGACGGAGTCTCAGAAATCTTAGCTCTCTCATACCGTAGGCTATACTACTTGCTCTTCAAGTTGACCATTTTAACAACAGTAAACCAACTCTTTTGATGAGGCAGCTTATCTATACATAGTCTACTGAAATCTGTGAAAAAACACAATGAGCTATTTATTTAATCATTTGACCTAGATCTGTAGTTCTTAGTCAAACACAACACAGTGTTAACTGTGAAGTATTATCATCACCTATAGGCCTAGAGGAATCTGCCTCCTCAATAACAAAATCATGGGAAGGGATTCTATCCATCCAATCCAATCGAGTGTAAATCCTGAATTAGAGATTTTTTTCCAGAGATGTTTTTAGTGAGGTGAAGTGACCGTGGTTATAGAAGCCCTAGTGGATAACAGTGTCATAGCCTGCACGTTCCGAACAAGTTCACAACTATGAGTGTCTTGACGTAAACAACAGTAGCTGTAGTGATAAAGAATAAGGGATGCCAAACTTGAATGATTATTACTAAATTTGTACTAAATATATAAGGATAAGAATATACCTATAATAAAATATTTGTGTGTCTGATTCAGTCCAACCACGAGACTCAGTTACTCTGTACAATGTGAAGAAGATTGTCTTAACGGAATAAGGTGTCAACAAAAATGATGCGTCCAGTTCGACCAATCATCTGTAACTCCATTGTTGAAGTGTTGTCTACATAGGTGGACTTTTTCCACTCAAGACAGGTTGTGAGGAGGATGACAACTTCAAAGATGATCACACTGTGTCTGATATTTCCACTTCTTGTAGAGATAGGTAAGTCCAACTTTTATATTTCTCTGCTTATGTGATGTCCACCTTTGATTTGGATGCATGAGATATCACATTTAATACTTTACAGCAACTTTGAATATTCTAAGTTGTATTTGGGGTATGTAACAGCAAATATGTTGTATTGTTCATGTTCTTTAATACATGTGGTAGCTGGTACTGAGTCCTCATCCAAACTTCAGGACAGTGTTCTCATATCAGCCAACGTTGGAGATGCAGTGATTGTGCACTGCTTCTATGAAGGCCACATGGACATGCTGTCACGCCCTGGCTCTGGGACTCTGTTATGTTGAGCCAGGGTGTGTAGTTTCTATAATTTTGTGTTCTAGGTTCATTATCTAGCTGATGTGTTTTCTATGTTGGCCGGTATGGTTCTCAATCAGAGGCAACGTGAATCAGCTGTTGATTGTTGTCTCTGATTAGGAACCATACTTAGGCAGCCTGTTTTGCCACAGTGTTTGTGGGATCTTGTTCCGTGTATGGTTAGTGTCTGTTACCAAGGACGTCACGTATCGTTTTGTTGTTTTGTTTCGTGTGGAAATAAATAAGTATGTTCGCAAATCACGCTGCGCATTGGTCCACTGTGTATGACGATCGTGACAGAAGATCCCACCATAACTGGACCAAGCAGCGTGTCCAGGAGCCAACGCCAGAGGTGAATCTAGCGGATATCCACCTCGACTGGGTCAAGCAGCGTGTCCAGAAGCCAACGCCAGAGAGGACTCTAGCGGATATCCACCTCGACTGGGTCAAGCCGCGTGAGAAGGAGAGAGGTTGGACTTGGGAGCAGAGGCTGGAGAGTCTGGCGAGAGCCATGGAGGCCATAGCCACGGGGGAGAGACGAACCCAATACATTTTTAGGGGGGGGCTCACACCGTGGACGACGGGACTGCTGGAGGCAGATAAGGGGCGAGTTAGTGGACGAGGAGAGAAGGCCACCGGGTTACGGGAGCCATTGGCGAGTCGGGGGAAGGAGAATGTAGAGGCACGGCGAGAGGTACTGAGGTGTGTTGCCAGTCCGGTCTGGCCCGTTCCTGATCCCCGGGTAAGGTCAGTGGTGTGTGTTCCCAGTGCGGTCCGGCCTGTTCCTGTCCCTCGCACCAAGCCTGTGATGCACGTCGCCAGCCTGGTCCGGCCTGTTCCTGCCTCTCGCACCAAGCCTACGGTGCGCGTCGCCAGCCCGGCCCGGCCTGTTCCTGCTCCCCGCACCAAGCCAATGGTGCGCGTCGCCAGCCCGGCCCGGCCTGTTCCTGCTCGCCGCACCAAGCCAATGGTGCGCGTCGCCAGCCCGGCCCGGCCTGTTCCTGCTCCCCGCACCAAGCCTGTGGTGCGCGTCGCCAGCCCGGCCCGGCCCGTTCCTGCACCCCGCACCAAGCCTGTGGTGCGCATCGTCAGCCCGGTTCGGCCCGTCCCTGCTCCCCGCACCAAGCCTGTGGTGCGCATCGTCAGCCCGGTCCGGCCCGTCCCTGCTCCCCGCACCAAGCCTGTGGTGCGCTTCGTCAGCCCGGTTCGGCCCGTCCCTGCTCCCCGCACCAAGACTGTGGTGCGCGTCGTCAGCCCGGTCCGGCTCGTTCCTGCTCCCCGCACCAAGCCTGTGGTGCGCGTCGTCAGTCCGGCACAGCCCGTGCCTGGGTCACCGGTGCCTGGTCAGGTACCGGTCAGCTGCTCCACATCGGAGCCTAAGCAATCCGCTCCACCGATGTCCAGTCCAGCTCCAGCCGGCGGGGCCAGACCGGACCAGGGGCGCTACGGGGGGATTGTTGGAGGGTGGTGGTCAAGCCCGGAGCCGGAACCGCCTCCGAGGAGGAAAGCCCACCCGGCCCTCCCCTGTTCGGTTTATGTTTGGCGCGGTCGCAATCCGCGTCTTTGGGGGGGGGGGGTACTGTCACGCCCTGGCTCTGGGGACTCTGTTATGTTGAGCCAGGGTGTGTAGTTTCTATGATTTTGTGTTCTAGGTTCATTATCTGGCTGATGTGTTTTCTATGTTGGCCGGTGTGGTTCTCAATCAGAGGCAACGTGAATCAGCTGTTGATTGTTGTCTCTGATTGGGAACCATACTTAGGCAGCCTGTTTTGCCACAGTGTTTGTGGGATCTTGTTCCGTGTATGGTTAGTGTCTGTTACCAAGGACGTCACGTATCGTTTTGTTGTTTTGTTTCGTGTGGAAATAAATAAATAAGTATGTACGCAAATCACGCTGCGCATTGGTCCACTGTGTATGACGATCGTGACACATGCATTTCTCCTGGTACAAGCAACCCTTGGGAGATAAGCTTCAACTCTTATCAAACGTATATAAGTTTGACAGGAAGGCAACATTCTACCATGAGTTTAAGGATAACCCTCGCTTCTCAGTGGAAAATGGCCAAGAAAATAATCACCTAAGGATCTCAGACATGCAGCTCTCTGATTCAGGCACATACTACTGTGGAAGTGCTTATGGCAACAAGGTGGAGTTTGGAGAAGGAGCCATTCTCATAGTAAAAGGTACGTTTTTGAAAAACTTAATTTACAGATATGCAGTATTATCTTAATCAGATGAGATGTTGAGTTTGTACACTTTCTACAGTAATATTCTAGAGATTAAATGGGTTATTTGAACTTCTTGTCAGGATCAGGGTCCAGAAACATGTATGTGCTCCAGCAGCCTGTGTCTGAGTCAGTCCAGCCAGGAGACTATGTGACTCTGAACTGTACAATACACACTGAGACCTGTGTAGGAGAACACAGTGTCTATTGGTTCAGTGGAGGGCTTCTTAAAGAAAAACTAACAGGTCTGTGAGAGCCGGAATTTTTACTGGTTGGTAGGTGATCAAATACTTATGTCATGCAATAAAATGCAAATGAATTACTTAAAAATCATACAATGTGATTTTCCGGATTTTTGTTTTAGATTTCGTCTCTCACAGTTGAAGTGTACCTACGATAAAAATTACAGACCTCTACACGCTTTGTAAGTAGGAAAACCTGAAAAATTGGCAGTGTATCAAATACTTGTTCTCCCCACTGTATGTGTCTTCAGTTTCACTCTACAATGCCCAAAAGCCAGAACAGAGTGGACTAGACCAGGCACTAACTCAGACTGCGGGAAAACGAACATCATCAATGATGTTCTTTTCTACACACAATATCATACAAAATTATTGCCTGGTGATCTTCTGAACTTCCCAATACCTTTCTGGTGCATTTCAGTCACTTTAAACCATACTTCCTTCAGATTAAAAAACGGTCAAAAGTACTGTTAGACTGATTTGTAATAGACTGTCATAGCTCCAATTCATAAAAGTAAACATTGGCCTTTGATTACATAACTTTCTGTACATGGTTGGGTCGCAAAAAATTTTGGATATCAAAATCGGGTCGCGGGCAAAAAGGTTTGGGTACCCCATGGTTAGTAGCTCTGACACCCAGACAGATCTGCATGCTATGATCATGAGCTAAAAACAAGTATGGGTAGTTGCAGCCCAATATGGCGACAGGAGTATGGGCGAGTGGGTGTGTCGAAAGGAGTGGGTGTATGGAAAGCGAATCAGCTAATTGGGCAGATTTATTGCCACTCAAGACCGTTTTGCATGGCTGATTTGGCTGAATGATGAGTTGATAAGCCGGTGACCAGTGCACCGGTGTTGCGGCGATGTGTCTGTCGACCTGAGGTGCTTCTTACTGGGCAGCTATATCAAGGTTGTGTCGCCAGCGGTAGCTAACGTGGTCATGTTTTACCATCACATTATTTTATTTCAAGTAGGATAGCAGCATGCACAATAACTAATATTGATAACCATCTTGATGTCACCTTGATACATACATACAGTCTACTACTCAATAGGGAGGGCATGAACAACAACAACACCGGGACACACTGCCCTTTGCTCCCGTTTGCCAAGCACTAATGTCCGGCAACGGCGTGGGAAGTAGCTACCTACTGTAGTAGCCAATATCAGGGTGACAGTCACAGTAAGCACACACATACAACACATTAAGCAACAGTACACCCATCATCAGTACTTTTAATAACAAATAAACAATCGTCAGTTTTATAACTCAAAATGTACAATTATTTGTGTAAAACTAACAGAGAAATACGACTCAAACTTATGCTCTGGCTTCAAAACAGACGTCCAAACTCTCATGGTATGGAGCTCAATGTATGGTAGTTGCGTGGTAAGAAACGGAAGACAAAAAACCACACCGCTCAATCAAAACACTCTAACCTATAGCAGAGCACATTCCACACACCAACACCTTTCCCCACACCCACTACTTTCCTTTCGACACACCCACTCGCCCATACCCCAGTCGCCATCTTGGACTGCAGCTACCCCCTTCTCGCAAAAACTCCTGTCTCTGAAAATACTTGTCTACCTTTGTAGCTTTATCTACAGTCATGCTGGGGTTAGGGTTACGCTAAGGTTACGTTTAGGGTTAGGGCTGAGGTTAGGGCTAGGGTTAGAGTTAGGTGTTGGGGTTAAGGGCTGGGGTTGAGGTTAAGGGTTAAGGCTAGTTGATACTTATTTTGAACATGTATAATCCATCTGTAGGGGACTATACAAATAAAGCATTACCATCACTAATCATGATAGGGAGAAGTGTTGTGGTCACCTATGAACCCCTCCTAACCCAAACACCTATATCAGTTGTTCCCAAATCTCACTGTGATCTCAGAGTGAATGAAGAGGTGTTGTCTGATTCACAACCAGACAGAGTAGAATAGATATACATACAGAATGGCCAGAACCTTCCTACCAGCTCTACTGCTCTATGGATTGAGTAAGTAAGCCACTGTTAAATCTATCAAATCAAATCACATTTTATTTGTCACATACACGTGTTTAGCAGATGCTTGTTCTTCTAGCTCCGACAGTGCAGTAATGTCTGACAAGTAATATCTAACAATTTCACAACATATACCCAATACACACAAATCTAGTAAGGAATGGAATTTAAGAATATATACATATATGGACAAGCAATGACAGAGCGACATGGACTAAGATACAGTATAATATTATAGAATACAGTATATACATATGAGATGAGTAGTGCAAGATATGTAAACCTTATTAAAGTGACTAGTGTTCCATTTCTTAAAGTGGCCAGTGATTTTAATAGGCAGCAGCAGCCTCTAATGTGCTAGTAATGGCTATTTAACAGTCTGATGGCCTTAAGATAGAAGCTGTTTTTCATTCTCTCGGTCCCAGCTTTGATGCACCTGTACTGACCTCACCTTATGGATGATACCAGGATGAACAGGCAGTGGCTCGGGTGGTTGATGTCCTTGATGATCTTTTTGGTCTTCCTGTGACATCCGGTGCTGTAGGTGTCTTGGAGGGCGGGTAGTTTGCCCCCGGTAATGCGTTCGGCAGACCGCACCACCCTCTGGAGAGCCCTACGGTTGCCGGCGGTGCAGTTGCCGTACCAGGCGGTGATACAGCCCGACAGGATGCTCTCAATTGTGCATCTGTAAAAGTTTGTGAGGGTTTTAGGTGCCAAGCAAACTTTCTTCAGCCTCCCAAGGTTGAAGAGGCTCTGTTGCGCCTATCATGGAGACAGAGTAAGATTGACTGCATCCGTCAAGTATAACTAGAATGTTCAGTGCAGCACTTCTTCCTGATTTCTAACATGTACATGTGATATCAGCTATTATAATAATTAACATAGGACTTTGTACTTTGTGTTTCAGGTTTGGTCTCTGTTTCGGTTTCTCAGTCTCAGACTATGGTGGTCCGTACTGGAGAGACCATCACCTTGCAGTGCTCCAATGTTACAACGGCTTTAAGACACACAGCATGGTTCAAGCACGTCTTCTTTTGAATTGGTCTAGTACAAATCTAGTACCTATCAGTGTAGAGGGAAACAGAAGACACGTAAGTGTTCCTAAGAGTCTTATCTTTCAGGGATGGGGTCGGAATATGCTGTAACTTAAACCGTTCAAAAGATAGAGACACATTTGTAGGAAGAAAACAGAAGCCGCTCTGTTTACTACAACCTCAACTTGTGGCTACCGGAGGTTACTGACGTAACCCCGATTCTATGAACTAAGAGCGATTTTGTACATTTTTTTTTTTTTTAATTCTCGTGACCCCATTTTTAAATCAGGGGAGACTACATGTAGTCGCAACCACTAGTTTGGGAAAAGCTGACCTATATGAACCCAACCGAACCCAAACACCTATGTCTATTTTGATTCAACACAAATGTGCTACACTTCTGTTTTTACACTCCACATAAAACGTCTGTCAATTCTGCTTTCTGTAAATAGACATTGTGGTCCAATACCAACTACCACGCCCCCTACCAATGAAATCCCTGTTGATCTCACTGTGATCTCAGAGTGAATGAAGAGGTGTACTCTGATTCACAACAAGACAGAGAAGGATAGATCTACACACAGAATGGCCAGAACCAGCTCTACTGCTCTATGGATTGAGTAACTAAGCTACTTACTGTTAAATCTAACATGGAGACTGAGAGTAAGATTGACTGCATCCGTCAAGTATAACTAGAATGTTCAGTGCAGCACTTCTTCCTGATTTCTAACATGTACATGTGATATCAGCTATTATAATCATCAACTTTCTTCTCTGTGTTTCAGGTTTGGACTCTGTTTTGGTTTTTCAGTCTCAGACTGTAGAGGTCCGTACTGGGGATACCATCACCTTGCAGTGCTCCAATGTTACAACGGCTGTGGGACACACAGCATGGTTCAAGCAAGTCAACGGATCAGAGCCTGTCTGTATCTCGTCTATGTACGGCTTTACTTCAATACCTGATCTCCGGTTTTCAAAGGAGCCATTTTGAAATGTTCAGCAACAACACCACTGTTTTCTCAAAATCTCAAAATTGGAAATAGCTGATTGTGGTTTGTATTTCTGTGGATTGTATCCACATAGCCACATGTTCTTTGTCAAGGCAACAGTTCTAAAAATTCAATGTAAGTTTTCAACTATTTATCGGCTTTTGATACATTTGAAAATGTTTATCAACCTAATCAGGAGATATCATGAAACAAAGGCAAACCAATGCTGGACATATTTTTAATCATTATAATTCTGAGAAAAAATACTTCCCTATTCTTACTAATTTCGATGTTATAGGGCACAACGGACGTGAGGAAATACCAGAGTCATCTAAAGAGAATTAGTTAATCTTTCTTTCTCAAGTAGATGAAAAAATAATAATTAAGAAACAAAAATGCAAAATGTTTATATTTAATCTAATAGGACATTGTAATGGAACTATCAGTCGAGTATGAGAGGATGATGATGGAACCATGTACCTCCTACCCCTGGTTGTGATCCTGGGTGTTGTGACTGCTGTTCTACTGATAGTCATCCTCATTCTGGTCCTCAAGATCAGATGAGACGCAAACAGACGCAACACAGGTAGGAGCCCATTTCATGATAATATGGGGCCTGTGAACTACACTTCAAATGTGGATGTTTTTCCCATGACATACTGTACACTGATGATCAGAAGAGTCAGTGTGTACACTAGAATGGAACATTCCGTCAATCCGTTCTCTCGTCTCTCTTTTACAGTGCATTCGGAAAGTATTCAGACCCATTGAATTTTTCCACATTTTGTTACGTTACAGCCTTATTCTAAAATTGATTAAATTGTTTTTTCCCCTCATCAATCTACACACAATACCCCATAATGACAAAGTAAAAACAGGTTTAT